ATAAAGGTTGATACGCTTTAATAATCCATTTATGCGTTCGCAGTCTCTTATTGGCAGATTAACATGATCGCGAACATTCTGAAGCCCAACGTATATCTTGAACGTGTCTAATGGCGCATAAATGGCTGTGTGTCCATTTATTGCAGAGACAAAGACAAAGCCAAAGACAGAGCAAGAGTTTTCAAAAGGCTTAGTATTCTGATCAAGCAAACATTCAATTTACCCGCCCCACGATTAATAAACCAAATAAATTTCCGATTCATCCAAATTCAGTTTCATTTCGATAGAATTCTCGACATCAGCAGATAGTACGAGTACAGTATCTTCTTACTCTCGCCCATTTTGTGGACATTCGCAAACTTTTGGTAAACTATTCCGATCTCATTTTTCCATATGAAGTCGTGTTCGATTTCGTTCGCTTCTTGTCCTTCTATTCTGCGTTTGATTGGTGCGTGGATTTTGCTTCGCATTTTTTTTTATTTTTTTTTAATTTTTGTACATAATTTTATTTAATGAAATCTTTATAAGAATCGTAAATGGTTGATGCATATAAATAATAATTAGAAGTTGTCATGACCGGCAAGTTTTTTTTTATTAGCAAATGTTATTGAAGTAAATCGCGTAAGTTCATGCCTTAACTAATAGATACGTGATTAAAGGGCAGATAACTTGAAAATCAATTAGAATTAAAGTCATGTTGCCCTGGGTAACGAGTTTTCCCTTTAAAGCGATTATAATTTGTTGTTGTTTTTGTTTTTCCTTTAAATTCAACCGTAACATCTATCTGTATGCAGTAAATGTGCGTTTATGTGTATTTTATATCGTTTCGTTGCGTTAATATGGTTTTAGGTGCAAAACCAGGATTATTGGAGAGAAAATGCCTATATACCCGTACTCAAGGACATGATTGAAGTGAAATCGGAAAGAATTTTGCAATTAACCGATCCAAGCCTAAGGACATCGGGCATACCGGCATGCGAGAAGCGCAGAGTTCGCAATGATAAATATTTCGATAATTACGATTGGCCCTGTATACCGCGTTTAAAGCCGTCAATCTATGCGGATAAGACATTCGATTTGCCAGATTACAATACTTTTTGTGGTGCGTCATCCTTTTTGTATCGTTTCACTTTTTCAACTTAATTATGATTAATTATGATTAATGGCATTTTTTTTGTGTTTTTGTTTAGAAGAAAATATGATTGATTGGTCTGTTAACGGTCAAATAGCGGTATTGTTCGGTCATGATGTCATGATTTGGAAGAGTAAAGAGGATATTACTATGGTGTTTAACGTTCGTTATCCGAGTGCGTTGGCGTACAGTCCAAACGGTGAATATCTGGCGATTAGTTGCAAAACAGGTGAACATCCAGGTGAGTAATATTGTTAAAGCCTTTTCATGATCGTAAAGTTGATGCTATTCGCTCGCTCGCTCTCTCTCTCTTGCTCTTTTTCGAAGAGATATACATGAAATACACATACATATATATATATATATATATGCATGTAATGTAGAGACTCGCCTCGCCTTTCTTATATAAATTTTTTCTTTTTTTTTTTTTTTTTAGTTGTCGAACTTTGGGACGTTCAATCTCCAAGTTTCTCGGTACAAAGTGGTCAAATATTTGAGCAAAAATATAATCATATTCTTGCGCTCGCTTGGGATAGGCCCGGGACGCACCTGGTGTGCGGCAGTCATTTTGGAACAATATTTGTACTATCTGCGCCAAATATGAATATAATAATGAAATTTCATAAGCATTATTTACCGATTACAATAATACGCTTCTCGCCAAATAGACGGTATATGGCAAGCGGAGATGAAGAAGGCAACCTAGTCGTTTACAATTGGGGCTCATGCAGTGTACATCTCTACATATATTCAAGACGCGGGCTCCGTGTGGTTTTCGACTGGCATCCATGGACAGACTCCGACTTGGTGATATGTAAATATTATTCATTCATAATTGCATAGCGTAGTCAGCCGCGTAGACCAGCTGCGAACATCGGCTTATATTAATTATTAAGATTAAGATTACGCTGATATTGTTCTTCTAAAATGTGATTGTGTGTGTGTGTTTTTTTTTTTTTTTTTTTAAGTAAATATATGCAATTATTGTTAATATTGTTTCTTCTTTTAGCCGAAAAGGTTCCAGCTTCCATTATTTTACTTCATGTGCCCAGCAAGAAAATTGTAGGATATTATCAGCAAGCGGACAGAAGGACTATTATTAATTCAATTTCATTCAGTAAACTTACCGGAGAGTTATTAGTCAGCATTTCAAACCGAAGTAATTTCTTATTTCACTTAATTGCAAAACAAATTGCAAATAATGGAACTTGCATTACCTGTTCTTGTTCTACAAATTCTATCTCAAGCAATCTTATGCGATCCATTCTCCAATCAATCGCCTCTGCTTTGATTCTGCTTTAACTTCGATCGTGTAAAATATATGATGTATATAATCAATGGAGGCATGCAAATATGTCGGTCCCTTCGACTAAGTGTCAGTCCGTGTGTCGGTCCGCTCTTTAACTTGATTGCTTCAAGCTTTCAGAGATTGATAAAACTTAAAGGCAGCTGAGACTCAGCGACTCAGAGAGCCATATGAATTTTAGAAATCGATGAAGCGGAAGCCGACAAGAGGTAACTTATAAATTAGAAAAAGTAATGAGTTTAAGATTTTTTATAAATCTTTAATTAGTCTATCTAAGTAAACGTTAATTGACACTGGATCTACAATTGATAGACTGCGATGCAATTTTTCCTTATCTGCTTCAAATGATTGATATTCAAGATTCGCTTCAGAGCGGATATGGCTTTTTTTCTTTTGCTTTTCTTTTTTTTTTAATTAAAAAAATGATGCTCCACTTATTTTATTATTATTTTTATACAGTTGGTAATGTAAACTACAATCATAAAATTCTTGTCATGGCTTCCCTGGATCGCGTTGTTGATGTAATCGCTTTTGCTCACGGTAATGCAAGATTTTTGGTTTGGAGTCCCGATGGAACTCATGTGGCGACATCGGGCAACGAGGATGAAACGCTTACAATGTGGAATTTTTGCGCGAGAAATCGAAAGCGATTTCCTCAAAATGCACCTTACACTCCCAATTTCCATTTGAGTGAGTGCAACTTTGGAAGTCAATTTAAGAAATGGAACAATGTTAAGTAACTGTGATCTGTTTGTTGTCTTAATTTATATTTATATATGTTTGTAATTTATTTTCATTATGTTTCATTAAAGAGTTAACTTAAAAGAGATCTTGAGAGAATGCTCTCCTCTTGCTTATCTGTGGCAATTTTACTTAAGATTTTTGTGTTTTTTTTTTTGTTTATCTGTGCCCATGCAGTGCCTAATATGAAGAACGGCCGCCGCCATGTTCGAATGACACTAATGCGTAATTTTATATGCTTGGTTTTTGCTTGCTGTTTGGACGAACGATAGAACTTTCTGCAGGACTTGGAAACTTCTAAAAAAGGTCTGGCAACCAATGAAAGAGGAGGAGGAGGAGGAGGAGGAGGAAATTTAAAATTTTACAATTTCATAATTAGTTGTGAATCCCATTATGGCTACATATGTGATCTAAATTTCGAGCAAAGCCTGGGCTTAGTATCTCTCAGTCTCAAGTCTTGTCTTTCAAGTTCACGTAAGAACAAGTCGTCCATGGCCGGGGTTGCAATACTTACTCGTTACAATTTGTTAAGTTGGGCTACGAAAGACGTATTAAGGGAATTTCGAGACTAAACGTTAATGAAAGATGACAAAGTCTGAATAGTATTTAGTAGTAGAAAGATGTCATAGCGTAAGGGCAGCGAATAAAGCGAATTTATCGCTTTAATACAATCGAAAGTAGTGCCTCCTTGATTGAGCGCTTACGTGGAACGATGGAGAAAAATCGACGAAATCAGACAAATTGAAAAATGCATTCATTAATCATCGATTTGCTATGTATTGCTTATGAACGGCGATTTTCATACGAAAACGAAAACGAAAACGAAAAGCTATTGCAATTAGTTACAAGGACTATGGAAATTTTTACCTGGTTACGAGACATGTCTCTGCATATTTAAGACATCATGTCTATCAAAGCTAAATAGTGGGATTTATTTTTAATAGTCTCAGTTAATCGGACGTTGACTTGAGCTTAAGTCGATGCATTATTTAACGCATAAAGTGTTTTGTATTGGAAAATGTTTCACTCAATTGAACGGGCAGTCAGTTTTAAAGCTCGTCACTTTTTAAGAACATTTACGAAATGTTTCATTCTTCGCTAAGTTATATCTATATTTACATATAATGAATGTATTCAAGCTTTGGTTTTTATTTGTTTTATGATTTTTTTTTGGATTTCACTTTTAAACCAATACCGCCAGACTTTTGGCGACCGTTGAGTTTGGCCTTCGTTGGTGAACCAGTTGGTGGCTTGGGTTTTAAAGGTTTCGGTTCTATTCGCCCGAATAACTCGTAACTAAATTCGGTGCACAGTTTTCCTGCAACAATTAAAAAGAGGAGATGGGCTTAAACGATTTGAAATCATGGAAATGCATAGACAAACTAACCGTAACATAAGTCTTCTCCGCATTCGGGACATGTATGCAGGCGGGTTTCCACTATACCTGATTTATTTTTCAATTTTCTTATACAATTATTTAGCATGAATTCCTTTCGGTCACGAGCTTCTGTCTTCAATTGCAGTTTCCCCATTTCTATCATACGTGAGAAATATTCGCCATCAATTTTCAATTTGGGACGTAGTGTTGTTAACATTTTCCAATCAATTGGTACGGCGCACAATTCATGCAAGGCGACTTCTCTCATCTCTGCCGGTATTGGATCCGCATACAAATAAAGGGGATCACGTTCTCCACTGCTTTTAAGTAATTTTTTCTGTTCTTTTCGCGGCATTTTGAACGAGAAATCCTTCTCTTTAATTTTAATTTCATCAGATCTGACCTTAATTGGCCTGGTCTTATATTCGGGAACCTTTTCCATAAGACGTTTAAATTCTTCACTATTTTGCACTAGACTACGGCTTAAATCTAAAATGGGCGCCGTCGTCTTCTTTTTAACTAATAAATCTTCCAATTTACTCATGATTTGTATAAAATTCTTCTATTTCTATTTCTCTCTCTTTCTCTTCAATTTTTACAAAAATTTAATTACGATATTCGAAGGTTTTATAATAACAAGCGACACCAAAACAATACAATCGCTTACAATAAGAATTACACGAGTTTTTTTTTTTTTTAAATAAATCGATAATGTTTCTAAGCAACCCGTTCATTTACCTGACGAGAACAAAAATGAAAAGGACACAATTACGAGAGCATGCGATTAATAGTCCTTGGAGATATTATCATAATTCTGATTCTTTAAGGTCAGGAATAATGATTTAATGGCATAACATATCGCATGCTTCTATTTGTAATTCGCCGATTCTCCGATACGTACTTCTCTCGATCTATTGGCTGTCAAAGTGACATCTCCACAACTTGGACCAATACACATATGTTGCAAAAACTTTTTCAACTTATTTAAAAGATGATGCTATCGTTTGATGCTTAATACTGTAACCAAATTTCGATAAATTTCGTTTGGAGTTGTTGCTCCGTCCGCCGATGTAACGGGTATACGGGATGTCATGGATTAAGTGAAAGCGTTGAAAGAGTGAAGTAATTTCTTTCCTTTTTTTGTTCTTCATTGCTTTAAAGGGCCATCTATAGCTTAAAGCCGAGATAAGAAATTTATAATCGGTTGTGAACGAACCTTATATACCCATCACCGTTAAACTTTCATACCCTATAGGATTGGCCAGGCGAGTCGAAGTGAAAAATTTTATCGTGTGTGACGAGCAAAAAATACAAAAAACAAAAGTGTTCTCAGCCTTTGTTGCATTGCAGGTGGATCCTTTGACCCGTCGGGGTCATTTCCTAATGCTTTTGCAAATCTCTAGGCGATATCGGCATTTTCGCAAATGGAAGAACAAATACTACAGATAGATGAACAGACGGACACACTTAGGTGCATTCTGAGTTTGACGCTTTGGTCAAGAATGTATATGGACTCTATGGACTTTTTGAAGCTTGTTTCTGCGCGTTATAGAAGTTTTGAAAAAAAAATTTAAAACCTGATCACTTTTGTACAGCTATCAGAGTCCATAGTCCATAGGTCTATACGTTCAAATTTTTATATGTTTACTTGCTGCAGTCTGCGAGTAATACGCAGGAAATCAATTTTCTTCCCTTTGCAAGACGGAGATGTATTCAGTCTTCGTGGATGTCTGTAGACGTGTCGCTCGACCGATTTGGTATATTTTCAATACCAAACTGCAATAGTTCTTCTTCCAATAGTTCTCGCAAATTTGAAGTCAACAGTAGCAAAATGCTTACAACCGACATTACACAGCTGGGCCGACAGACAAGCGGGCATGGTTAAATCGATTCAGAGCTTGCAGCGGAGATTTCTGCATTTTTGTTATAAGTGCTGCAAACTTTTCGACAAAATGAATGCAACCGGTCATCCTCCAGTGATGGTTATAAAAAATGTATTTCCGACAAGGAAACCCTGATGTACTGCGGAAGAGAATGTCATTTCAAAGATACTCTAAAAATTCAAATGAAAAGAGTAAAGTCTGAGTTACTCCGCGGCCGTCTTGAAAAATCGTGTATCGTGAAAAGTTGTCGCGTTTTAAGTTGTGAAATATATAATGGATATATTAGTATATTGTACAACGCTTATGGTACACAAGGTATGTTATTAAGTTTGCGCCGATATATGCAACACCGAGAAGGAGCTGAGATAGGCCTATCTTTTATAACACCAATCAGTTTTGAATCGTTTGAAGCTTGTCTGTCCGTTTGCCCGTCTCCTTATCTCTTGTTCAATCTATAAGGAGCAACTCTGTTATTTATTTAAACGTCATTTCTGTATTGTTATACTGTACTCTGTTATTTTTCTCATCTTGATATAATTTTGTCATTTACTTAATATCTTTTTGCATAGATGGTAAATCATATATATGTAATTAATTTCCTAATAAAAAAACAAAATAGAAAATAAACTTTCTACAAACATCCATTATTAGGAAACAACAGACAAAGCATTAGATTGCAAATTTTCCAAGCAAGGATACATTTGACAAGGGCAGTCTGTTCAAAGTACTTGGGGGGGAGATGAGCATTTCAGCTGAATACCTTGTTTGAGGGCAATGAGTTTTATCTCTATCGTCGTATTAGAGAAAGCTTAAACGAGTTTTCGGCGTGTTTACCGTGCACTACTGACGGATTCAATTTTCGTTCATTTGCGCAGAACTTTTACGACAGCTTTACGACGAACGATATGTAATTTTTTTTGTTTTACTTAACACGATGTTGGCGACTTGTTGAAAACATCAAATTGACGCAATTCTTTTCTCTTCTTCTTCAACTTTTGAAAAATGTTAGGTCCCGTTGTGTCTAGATGCAGAATTGTGATCTAACGGAATATGATCAGAGATGCTTTACGTCTCAGTTTTGTTTTTAAAAAATCTTTAAAAAATATTTATATATATACTCTTGAAACGTGTACCTGGCTATGAAAAAAACCGGTTTGCTTTTTATATAAATTTAGAGTAATGATCTCTCTCGTAACGAAGTAATTATACGATTCATTCGCGATCTATAGGAAACTTGATGGCGGTTTTAAATAAAAATATCAGTTAAATGTACTTCGAAACAGTTTACACTCTAGCTATTAAGCTGGCTGTAAAAGCTATAGGCATCGAGTTAGGTTTAACGCTAATTGCGTTTACAATTTTCGCCATGCCCGCTTTAAAATCTGATTTGGGGCTATTGACTAAGAGCGAACAGTTTTTAGTTTTTCATATAAATTACGGCAATCGAACGAATGAGCGAATCGAACAAACGGAAGGACAAATGTAGTAAACGCCTCAGTCTTGTACCTATGCACTTTCGATTGCAAAACGAAGTGCATCCTGTGTAGCATTCAAATTTCAATTCTCAATTTCTTGTCAGTTCAATCCATATCGATAATGCTCAAGTCAGAGCTTTTATCGGCTGCGACTAATTGCATAAACTCACTTAATCAATCTATTCATGGAAGTTAATTTATATTTGAAACTTGCTCCACTTTCGTTACAGACCCATGATGCCCAGAACTATAAATATCAAAAATAGTTACACATACATTCCTCTTATAAGAATCTATACATTTAGACGCGAAATGCGTCCAAATTTTCAGGCAAATTTTCTTCCACTTAAACGTATGCTTTGGAAATCCAAAAATAATCTTTTTATTGGTATTACAATAATGTATTTCAATAATTTCTAGGACGAAAGTAGGGTGAACACTAGCCACTAAGATTCTGGGCTATGAGGTTTTTTTAAGGCATAGACTAGATAGATAATTACTCTGGTCGCTTAAAGAAAGTTAAATGCGCGATTCGTCAATATATCCATTGTCCATTCGACATTCCGAAGACGAATCTTCATAGACGCTTTGCATGCAGCCATTGGAGGAAGTTGGGGTAATATTTTCCAAAGAAAGATGGAATTGTTTTTTTTAATTTATAGCAAACTCATCGGTATTGTGAAGAAAACATATCGTTAATTGACATTTGTGTTAAATTTTATTGAAATTTTTGGTTTTCAAATCGAAAAGCGATCGGTCAAAATCAATATGAAGACATGGATTGACTTGTGTACATGTCGGAGGCAGTTAAGACTTTGTCAATGTAAAGATTAAATAAATAGATGAGAGGATCTGTGACTATATTAACTCAATACACCATCCCGCCGATTACGAATATATGTAAAATTTAATTGGAATCTCTAATATCTATCTATATTTTCGAATGCAAGAGAAAAAAAAAAAATAAATAAGGATTGCATGCTCTAACGATAGGCATAGCATAACAGCGTGTGCTTGGTAGTCAACCTTAATAGCATAACTACTGCTTTTAAGTTATGCAAATTTCGATTTCTTCGTTGTTTCGTCCTTTTCTGCTTAACGTCCTTTTTCAAATTCTTTTTGCAGATATACAGTTCGCAGTTATCCTTTTTTTACGACTAGAAATATGTTCAAGTTTTTTGTATTCGTTTTTCTTTTTTTGTCTTTTTTGCTTGCATATCTATTATAAAAAATTTGTATTCGCTTCAACGGATCCTTCATACTCCGATGGTGCATATAGTTATGTGCCTGAATATTAAAATGTACACTCCAACCTGAAATGTAATCAATTAAATTTAACATTTATTTACATAAGCGCTCGTTTTTCTACCCTTAGTCTGTTTATCTTCATTAATGGTTTAACTTCGCTATGCCGTACACCTACAAATGTTTATGTGCAATATGTTGTCCGTGAACAATATCTACATAATAAGACGTCCCATTACGCAAAGGTTGTTGCAATAGCCGGGATTTTGGGGATTGTCAAAGCAGCAATTTGGGTTTTGCAAAAAGGGGAAAAAAACTCACCTTTACTCGCTTTGCACTTAAAATACTTGCAACGACTGTACCTCTATGGGTACATTAAAAAAAAAATTTAAACTAAAACTAATTTAAAATTACAGTTATAATTATTATTATAATACAATAAAAGTCACAAAATATGATATCATTACATATGAACTAATATAAAGTGTCCAGGGGTTAAAATTGTACCCTATTCTAGTTGTGAAATATGAATATGTTACCTAAAGAAAGGCTAGCCTCCAGTATATATTTAGTAATAATGTCTAGGGGCGATATACAAAAAACCCTCAATTTTATCAATGCACGAATTAAAATTTTTATTCGAAACTTTCTGTGATTAACCTTGAATTATGACTTTTAGGGGATAGGGGGTAAGCTTTATTTACATTTCTTAGAAGGCTTACTTACGTGCGATTAATGTATCAGACCTTATATCTAAGCTTTTCAGAGCTTCCTGTCTGTCTGAATAACAGGATTCAATTCTCTTGACTCGATCACCTTTGCCTTCTACAATCAAATTTCATTCTACCACATCCCTGTTAATCCCATCCCTTTTTGCCTGTTCTGTGATATATTATTTATCTTCTCGCGGATCGGTAGCTGCCCTGGTAGGTGAAGCCTCACAATTTCTTTTGCTTCGAAAACGGTTAGTTTTTCATCCAAATTCTTAGACCCACTTTGGGTCTAAGGTTATTGACTTTATTAAAAGCTTTAACCGATTTGAGCCTACGGCCTACTCGACCAGTCAAATGGATAAATACATATCACATATCCGCATGTGTAATCGAGTAGGCAAAGGATTGCGACTAAGAACTCGACGATGGTGGGTTCAAAACTCAAGTACGGTGAAGTTTTTAATACAGCCGTTCATAAATCCTTACTTTGCAAATTTATGTACAAAATATATAGACAATAAATAAATAAATAAATAAAGTAAACAAATGAGATCATCAATAAATAAATATAGGATGTCGTGGAGTATGGATATTAAAGGAGAATGCACGTGACAAGATCTTAAGATCGTTGCGAATGCGTTTATTG